CTGAGACATATATTTTGCCTACATAGCTGTCCATCTCAGGTACTCTCTGGCCATGGTCCCCAATTTATTTCATACTTCTGGCATGAGTTCTGTAAGGCTCTGGGCATGGAACCTCTTCATTCATCTATGTATCACCTTCAGACTAATGGTCATACGGAGTGCATAAACCAGACCCTTGAGCAATACCTCAGATGCTTTTAAATTTTCATCAGGATAATTGGATGATCTTGTTCCCCCTGGCGAAATTCACATACAAAAATGCTGTCCATACTTCTACAGGCCAGACCCACTTTTTCTCCAACTATGGACTCCATCCTCATTTCCACCTAACATTGCCTACCTTCCCATAGGTCCTCACAGTGAATGACTTTGTATTGGATCTCCAAGATGTTTAGCAAAAAATTAAAAGTTCATCTCGACACAGCCAACCACATATAAAAATAATGACAGCAATATTTTGGCCCCACCATTTCACTTGGTAACAAGGTCTGGCTCTCTTCAAAGACTATCAAGATCCCAAGACCACCTGCCAAACTGGATCACCAATATCTGGGCCCCTTCAAGGTTGTGGAACAAATAAGCTTTGTTGCATTCAAGCTATGGCTGCCCAAAACACTAAAAGTACACCTCGTTTTCCACATATACCTACTCAAACCTCCATAAAAAAACCTTTCCTGACTGCCTAAACCTGCTCCCCCCACACCAATGATAGTGGAAGGTCACAAGGAATATATTGTAAGGCAGGTTCTAGGCTCCAAAGACATCTGAGGCAAGCTCCATTAATTCATCAACTGGGGGGGCTATAGCCTGGAAGAATGATCTTGGGAACCAGATGACCATGTTCACACCCACCCCTAAACTAGTATAAGTTTTCCACTGAAAATACCCAGAAAAGCCTGGTCCCAGGCTGCCTAGAAGAGGCCATCTGGGAGGGTGGGGTGGGAGGGAGCAGAAACTCTCAGGAACACTGATCAAGCAGGCCTGGTTGTGCCAAGCATTTGAAGTTATCACATCTGCCGCTGATCCCCGACTAATGCAACCGACACCGTTCTCTGCAACCAGATTGGCTACTGAAAGCACCACTCACCCCTTTTAAACACCTGCAGCCTCAGCCTCAACACATGCAAGCCTTAAATCAGCCTCAGTCTGTTCTGGCAAGCCTTGCATTCATAGCTTTCTCTGGCTTTCCTGACTTCTGACCTGGGTTTGACTTTTTGTGACCATGATCATGAATCTACCCTGAAACTTGGTGCTGGCTCTGCTTTCTCTGGTTTCCCTGACATCCTGACTTGCCTTGGTTGCCTTGACCCTTATCCCAGCTTTTCTCTGGCACTTGGTCCCATGCTCTCTAATCCACCTACTCAGACCATGACTCAATGCTCCAGGAACCCATGCTCCTGCCCTGCTGATCTCCTAGTTGCCCCCCAGGGCCTATCCACAGGCCTGGCTGCCTATTCCCAGCCACAACCTCACAGTTACACAACTCCATGGGAATAATCTGAAAACAATGAAATAAAGATGTAACTGGGGATGGAATTTGGCCTAAACAACTATTGTCATAATTTGTTTATTCGTGCCATCATAGTATTCAAAGGCTCCAACCTTTACTGGGCCCCATTACACTAGATGCCACATCAAACACAGAGGAGAATATGGTCCTTTCCTGAAACTCTCATAATTCAGTTATTGGTGATGTGAGATGGAAGGAACCTAGCTTAATGTTTATATTTGCATTGCTTTTTCAGAGTGGACAATTAGAAAGAACCCTTTTTTACTTGATTATTGGGCATATTTGGTCTTCAAATTCTGACAGAATAATAAGCATGAAGTTCTACTAGGTGTTTTTACAGTCCCTTTTAAAGGGAGTGTAAAATTGCAGCTGGGGCACCCTGGCAAAAGCCTGGCACCTGACCTATGCACCATTCATGTCACACGAAAGACTTCACATCTGTGGTGTATAATCCTCATGTGAACTCTATTCTCCAAGCTGAATGACACTTTAAGACAGTGGTTTCAGATTCTTTCTATAATGAGGGTTGAATTCCATTTTTTATACTGGTTATTGCGGCAAGATATAAAACTCAGTCCAAACTCCCCCCAATTCAAAACAAAATTTCCATTCATGTCAACAACAAACTCACACTGATATCAAGGCAGAAGTTTGCTATTTGTTGCCGCATTTTTAATGATTAGATTTTAACTTTGTACCTCCCCTTCTTCTACTTTTATGTTCCTCTTCCTTCACTATCCTCCCTTTTTAGTTTTTCTTTTTCTGCCTGATCTTGGTTCATCAAACCTGTTCTTTCCTATGAATTTCCTGTCTTACAGGAACTCCTAGGTCTCTAGCCACTGTGCTTCATTACCATACTTTACCCCCATTCCATTTAGTAAAATGATCAGTGATTTAACATCTAACATTGACACTGGCTTCCAGTCCAATTAGACTAACAAGTTGAGGGTGGGGCAGAGGCATAACAGAGAAGCTGATCACATAGGGCACCAGCAGTGACTTCCGGCTGCTGGTACCACCAGCACAGGTGGCAGCTATTATTTTAATGCTTCTCTTCAAGTCAGCACCTGGGGCTGCTGCCTTGGTCTCCCCACCTTAGTTACACTACTAGCTCATAGAGCAGGGGTGGGCAAAATGCGGCCCGTAGGCCGCATGCGGCCTGCCAGGCCATTCTATCCAGCCTGTGGGGCACCTAAAAAATTTAGAAAATTAATATTTATCTGCCCCTGGCTGCCTGTCATGCAGCCCTTGATGGCTTGCCAAAACTCAGTAAGTGGCCCTCTGCCCAAAATAATTGCCTGCCTCTGTCATAGAGGCACCTTAGAGATTTACTTTGCCATAGCATCTGATGAAGAAGGCTGTAGCTTATGAAAGCTCATGCCTCTCTGAGGGCATGTGCACATGTTCACAAGACCCAATCTACGATCACGAGGATTGCTTAAAGCCACATGATCATAGATGGGACCCCACTTATTCATTGGTGCTGGGAACCATGTCGGAAATGTGATCTATGTCGGGATGAGGCAAGGAGGATTGGAAGGGGCTACCACTTCCAAGGGAGGGTTTTGGTAGGTCCAGGCCAGAAGGATTGCATGTTTGGGGGCTGGGATGATTGGAGGTCTAAAAATAGCCTGGTCAGGGTGAGAGGTAGGAAAAGCATAGTCCTGGGGCTGGGGCAAGTTGCTGGGCTTTCCCAGATCCAGGGCTGTGCTCCTAATAGCTACGTACATTTCATTAGATCAGGCCTGGGTGAGCCTGATCTATGTAGTGGATCTCCTTAGGTGAACTAAGTTAGATATGGTCAACCATTTTTTGCCTGATCTAAGTGTAACATCTGCATATGCCCTACACAAATTAGACTATAAAGCCACTAAACTAATCTTGCCTTCTCTCTATTAGAGTAACAATTAACCAGGAAATTCACACTTCTAAGCTACTGTTTGAAGCTGTTTGTCAGCCCAATATAATTAAAAGTAGTGACATCTTCCAAAGGGTAGGTACCTATGAACAATTTTGTGTCGACTAAAAGGGGTAGGGAATTATCATTCAGTAGCTAGTCTGTAGTAACTGCCTGTGTGTAAGCCCTTACCCCATGGATATTAGAAGCTAAAGCATGGTAGCTTCTGTGAAATATGTTTCCACTAGCATGGCTTAGCTTTTGCTTCCCATGGGGCATACACACAGGAGGTTATGCCATGGACCAGGTACTGTGAAATAAATTGCTACCCACGTTAGCCCACAGTAAATATTTCATTTGTCCATACTTGAAGTTCACATATGCAACATTTTCTTTGCAATCCTAAAGACAAGAAACTTACATTTAAAAAAAAAAAATGAATACATACATTTTTGATTTCTGGACTGGCTATTTCTGGCGGGCCAAATACAAGGATCAAGTGAACCAGATCTGGTCATATATTTGACATCACTGCTTTGAGTGACAGCCTTGAACTATGAACCCTTTCCCCAAGGAAATTGTATATACTAGTATCTACAATACACAAGGAAAACTAAAGATGTACTGCACTTGCATTTGCTCTTTGCCTTGCTCACATTGGGCATTTTTACACGTGCTTTGGGACGCAGCACCAGAACAATACTTTAATTAGAGAACCGCATTTATTTAAAATGTCCGTGCATCATGTGTATCAGCATCCCTGCACTGAAAAAATGGTGGTGGAGGGTTCTGAACTAAAGCTCATTGAATGTGTTTTATTTCAAAGTGCCCTGCCGCCATTTTTTCAGCACAAGGACACTACAGATACACATGATGCGGAAGAGTACCAGAGTGTGTCAATTTCCGTTCTCCAGCAGATTTGATTAATTGCTGGATTTCCAGCATGTCAGAGCAGACTCTCTGCATGTCTAATAGGAGCCCGTTAATTCTAATTTTTCCATTTATTTAGATGTCCTGTATAATGAAGAAAGTGTTTTACAGTAAATTTTGTTGCAATCTTGTTGTGCAGCCCAAAAACAGACTACATTATGATACAGGTATAACCTGTGATAAGAATAAACAGTAAAAAGATACAAGCTACCTTAACTATGGGCTAGAATATACCTGCAGGACATAGTTCAGTCCATTACTTTGCCATCCCCAGGTAATTTCAGAGAAGCAGCTTCCTCTCTCTTTTCTCCTTGCTGCTGGGGAGAAGTGCATTGCTGCTGAGAGCCAATGTGTCAAGATTCAAATTCTTAGTAAGTCGCACAAGGAAAAAGGGGAATTTTACTTCCACTTATGCCCATTTGCAGGCCAACTGTATATTTAATATAAAAATACCCAAAATGCAATTATTTAAGTCATCTAAGCAATCTAAGCAATAGTTAGTCTGCCAAAAAAACAGCACAATCATCCTTATTTTGCAGCAAAGCGAACTCATCTCAAATTATCTGAGGAAATGCATTCCCAATGAAAGGGTATAGAAGATGCTAAATGAGGGCATAACATAGGAAAAGGGCAGTATCTTCTTTATTTAATAAAAAGGCTTACCATCCTGCTGGCCCTGAAGATTCTGAGGACTTTGCATTCTCTCTTCAAGATTAGAACTAAGGTCTGAGTTCACAGCTGACATCCTGGTTGAGTCACTCATATCAAATTCATCACTTTCTATGGAACTTTCATCCTGCAATTCAAAATTCCCTGTTTCATATTAGGAAACACCCAAAAATTAGTGACAAATATGTTATTCAAACTAAAATCATTATTTAGTACTTCATATTAATAACTGAGATACCCTTATTGAATGAGTAAGTAAACAAGCAAGCTATAAGAAGAGCAAGTATAATTAATCACAAAGTGGACTGTGATCATTTGACAGGTGCCATCAAAGTTTAATCAAGTATGATAATACTCCAACTATAATACAAAGTGGCTTTCTAGAATATTTTGGAAAGGCAGAAAAATGTTAGTGTTCTGGGAACTCATGATAGCTCTTTTCTATTCAATCTTTGTTGAGGAGACATCTCCATTTTTGTGCCCGAATTGTTCATTCTAGTTGAATAATCATTGCCAGGAAGTACGTAAGATTTTAATGAAATGCTGAATCTATCAAAGACAATGGCTAATCTCATTTGATTTCAACCTTAAACTGTAAATATGTTCAAAGAAGTGACTGAAAAGTGGCATTGTCTTACTCAGTCCAGTCCTGATCTTGTTCACAAGGAACTCAATTGCAAGGCAACTCGCAAGTGTGAAAGCAGGGAAGAGTTTATTCTGGCTCACACACTTCCAATATATTTCATAGAATCATAGAAATAGGGTCGGAAGAGACCTTGTAGATCTTCAAGTCCGACCCCCTGCCTGGGCAGGAGAAAAAACTGAGCTCAAACAATCCCAGCTACGTAGGCATCAAGCCTCCTCTTAAAGACCCCCAGAGTAGGAGCCAGCACCACTTCCCTCGGAAGTTGGTTCCAGATCCCAGCTGCCCTGACTGTGAAGTAGTTCTTACGGATGTCTAATCTAAACCTACTCTCCAATAACTTGTGGCCGTTATTCCTTGTTATGCCAGGGGGCGCCAGGGGAAACAAGGTCTCCCCAAACCCTTCTGGTCACCCCTAGTGAGTTTATAGACAGTCACCAGGTCCCCCCCAGCCTTCTCTTGTGAAAGCTGAACAGGTTCAGGTCCCGCAGTCTCTCATTGTAGGGTCTGCCCTGTTGTTCCCAGATCACGCGGGTGGCCCTCCTCTGGACCCTCTCAATGTTGTCCACATCCCTCCTGAAGTGGGGC